AGATTATTATAAACTCAGTCACTCAACATTCAACATTCTCAGAGCTCATACACACTATTAGCCAGTGTGGGGAGTACAAGAATGTTTAAGACAGGGTCTCTGACCTCCAGAAACTCACCTACAATCTAATAAGGAGAACAAAATATTTCAATAAGTGGACAAAACCCAAAAAAGAAATTGTAAATGTTATAAGAGATATATAAATAAATCATTTATAAGTTCATAGGAAAGGGTCCTTTCTTTTGACAGAGAGAATCAGAAGGCCTCAAAGAAGAGAGAAGGCAATTGAGCTAGGTCTTGAAACTTAACTAGAAATGAAAGAAAAAAGTCCAGGTGGAATCATCTCAGAGCACATTTGGAAAATAGCATGAAGTCCAGTCTGGCTGTGAATAGGAATAAGAGGTGGGAAAATACTTTTCAGTCCAGGTTAGTCTACACATTAGCAATACTTCCTTTAAAATGAACTTTATTAAAGGAGGACATGAGTGAGAGACATTGCAATCTCCTTTGGATGCTGAGAGAGAGAGGTGGTTTTTAACTAGTATGGCTTAAGTATGTTCCTGCAGTAAACAAGAGGGTGAACTAGCTCACCATTTCTACTAATTCCTTCTTTCCTCTTTACTCAGAATATAGTTTTCACTCTTGGATATCAGCCAAACCTTTTAAAGATCCAGTACAAAAGTTATATCCCGCCCAGCCAGTGTGGCTCAGTGGTTGAGCATCGGCCTATGAACCAGGAGGTCACGGTTCGATCCCGGTCAGGGCACATGTCCAGGTTGCGGCTCAGTCCCCAGTGTGGATTGATAATTCTCTCTCATCAATAATGTTTCTATCTCTCTCTCCCTCTCCCTTCTTCTCTGAAATCAAGAAAAATATATTTTTAAAAATAATAAAATAAAAAGGCCACGTATTATTGGATTCCAACTATATGACATTCTGGAAAAGGCAAAACTGTGGAGACTGTAAAACTATCCGTGGTTGCCAGGGTTTAGGGAGGGATGAACAGAACACAGAGGATTTTTAGGGCAGTGAAACTATTCTCTACTGTAACGTTAAATACACATCATTATACATTGTCAAAGCCCACAGAATAGAAAACATCAAGAGTTAACCCTAATGGAAACTGGACTTTGGGTGATTATGATGCACCCATATAGGTTCATCAACTGCAGCAAACATTTCACTCTGGTGCCAGATGTTGATAGTGGGGGAAGCTGTGCGTGTGTGGAGGCAGCGGGTATATAGGAACTCTCTGTACTCGCCACTCAATTTTGCTGTGAACCTAAAACTGCTCTGAAAATAAAGTCTATTTAAAAAAAAAAAAAAAGTGAGCAACTGGCCCTGCAGAGTGATGCTTAGTAGCTGTGCAACCATCCTCCCTGGAAAAAAACTGCCCAAGGTATGTCTCTGAGAGGCATGTTCTCTGGAACTTTGGCGTGATTCTCTGATATCATTGTGGGCATTAGAATATCGTTCTCTCTGAGGTTGCAAGAACTACTTAAATCAAGCAATAGCCAGGGTGTTGCAATCTTCCTGGGAATTTTCACTTTCTAGTATGGAGAACCACCAGCAGATGGCAATCAAAGACTACAAAACGTGGGTTTATCCTATTCAAAAAGATTTTGATAAACAGATTTAAGAATAATAAGGTGATAAATTTAAGGTAAGCAGAATTGTGGTTCTTCACAGAGCCATAATTTCTGTTGCTCAAAATAAGCAATTCTTCCACCAGTGACTGAAATAAATGTCTAACCTCAAAAAGGCACCAGGGACAAATTCTTAGATTTTTTCCTCAAATGACAACTTTGGTTAATGTATGTGAAAATGAATGAGAAGAGTTTGTTGTTTTTATTTAGACATTGTATGTCTTTTATATTTTCTGTTTATATCATAAATGTTCTTTGGTATATAAAAATGACCAGTTGTGTTAATGATTTTCCAATGACAGAAAACATGCACCTGTTGTAGAATAGCGCTGCAAAATCACCAGAAGGAAGGAATTTGCTCAAAACAATCCAGTGTGTATGCATGGGGGAGGGGAGTAGGAAGGGATTTCCACAGAGAGAGCTACAGTGTAGTAGAACCTGCAAAATATGAATATCGCTATTTTGTTAAGTTGAGACAAAGAAATTTCAACTTATAGTTTACAGTTCAGGCATATTTGATGACATAACAAGACTCCTTTACACATGGATGGTGGATCATTGTGGAAAACGATTAACCTGTTTTTTTAATGACAACATTTTTATGGGTCGGGGGCAGGGGCGGGGGAGCCTCATAAGGCATTTTTAAGAAAACAACATTGGACCTGGAGAGTTTTGGAAATACTCAGTGTTTAAGAGGAGCTAGGACCAGTACGTATTTTTTGGACTCCTACTAAGCATTGGGCAATATTACCTCAAGTCAGGTAAATTATTTAGCCCCACAGTTACACATGAAGGCATTCAGGTTCAGAGGGGTTCATAATTTGTCAAGGTTACATAACTAGTAAGTAATTGGGCTGGGATTTGAACGCAGCCCTATTTGGGTAAATATAGGCACCGCACTGTCATTGTTGGTCTTATTCTAACCAGTGATGTTAAACAATTGAAACCTCCTAGCTAATTCAGAAATGTAACCACATCACCTGGGGAAGTTGTTAAAGATTCCGAGTTCCAGGTCACACCCCTAGAGATTCTGATTAAGAAGATTGGGGGGGCGGGGTGGGAGCCCCGGAATCTGAGTGTTCAACAAGCTCCCCCAGTGGTTCTGCTGGAGGTCATCTTCCCTCAAATACTTGGAGAAAACAGGCCCAACCCAATGGACCTTAACCTTTCATGAGCAAAGAAGCCTTTGAGGACCTGATGAAAGCTCTGGACCTTTTTCTAATTTTTTGTTAAGAAAAATGCATATTTTACACCCCAAATTTTGCATACACCTTTAAGGGGTTCACAGGCACTCTGAAGCCACAGACACCGGTCTCGGGCGTGTCGCAGTTAAAAGTGGCCTACTTAGAAGGCTCTTCCTTCTCTCCACCCAGAGATGTCACGCTTCAGCCTCAAACAGCCTCCCACAAGACGAGTTGTTTTCTTTTTTCCTTTCTCATCAAATACAAAGGGAAGAGTTTTCCAGGAAAACGAGTTCACTGTTTGAAAAGGAGCTCCCCCTTGTAAATGGAGCCCGCTCTGGCATAGTGCTTCAAAACATTAAGCCGAAGCAGAATGGTAGTGTAATCTACACTCACGATGAGAGTCCCTCTGGAAATAAAGGTGTTGTGACTCAAACCGACAGTGGGGACCACAGATTCATTGGGTACAACCAGAGCAAAGGAGCATGAAATTACCTTCCCGCAAACCCCTTCTCTGACTTCTTTTCCAATCCCTAGGTTTTCTCTTAGGTCGCCACTAGCAAGCTAGCACTTGCATTGTTAAATAACTCCAGACTCCTGCAGCACATCGTTTGAAACATGAACATACAGAAATAACATGGACACAGAGTCCTCCAACATGTCCCTTTAATGAGTTCTGAATTCTGCAAGCCGGAAAGGCGAAAGAGAACACGCAGTTCTCGCTGTAGGTCCTGGGTCTGGATAACCCAACGGCGAGGAGTCAGGGAGGAGTTCCGTGCACACCGATTGGATAACCCAACGGCGAGGAGTCAGGGAGGAGTTCCGCGCACACCGATGTTATACATAAATGTCGTATGTTCATGTCGTTCATTACCATGTTTCTCTTTTATTAGTGTAGATGTCGTATATTCATGTCATTTTTTTCTCAGAAAAGAGTCCATGGCTTTCATCAAATTCTTAAAGGAATCTTTGGCTAGAATTTAAAAAGTAATTATTTATAGGAAGAGTCCTGTCTCACATGGGCTGACTAGACAAACAAGGCGGGCAGGGCCCAGCCAGCGTGGCTCAGTGGTTGAGCATCTACCGATGAACCAGGAGGTCATGGTTCGCTTCTGGTCAGGGCACATGCCCAGGTTGCAGGCTCGATCCCCAGTGTGGAGCATGCAGGTGGCAGCCGATCAATGATTCTCATCATTGATGTTTCTCTCTCTCTCTCCCTCTCCCTTCCTCTCTGAAATCAATAATAAAAATATATTTTTAAAAAGAAACAAGGTGAGCAGGATTGTGTGGGGCAGGCAAGCTTGGGGCATCTTCCTCAGACATAAAGTGGGAGACAACATTGTATATGTTGTGTATGTGTTGTGTGGATACAACATTGTCAGCCTCAGGTTTAGATCTGGAGCACTGTGCCAGAAGGTCCGCTCCCCCCTACGCGTCCTTCCTGGTGTGAGAAGAGAAGCACATTAGGGGGTCTGCAAGACCTCTGTCAGTGAGAGGGCTGATTATACACACTGCTCTGACTCCTAAAGTGCTTGTAAGTTAAGAATAATCTCACCTAACTCGTCAGGTTTGGGGGGGCGGGGCGGGGAGAGCAGGGGCATGGACATGAAAAACAACTGTAAAGCTCCAAGCACAGGGCCTGGCACAGAGTGGGCACTCAGAAGGTTTGCTTTTTTTCCGGGGCAGCGATGCTGACCACTAACTAACTGCTGCTCAGCTGGGCTGCACCTGTCAGACTGCCTGGAGTCTGGGCTTGGCAACCTGAAGGAAAACAGGTTTCCTTTAGGAATTCCCATTCTCCAGTCTCCCCTCCATCTCTGTTGCAAAGGTGAGCAAGGACCTCAGGCACAGAACATGCTTGAGGATCACAGGGAGTCCCAAGGGATGAAAAGACACAGTCCCTTGTCCTTGGCGTTGCTGGGCCCTAATAGGGCAGATAATACCAAAACTCAATCAGCAGAAGTCACAGGCTGAGGCACTAACTAAGCACAGATACACTGCAGACCTAAAAACAGGTTATAATAGAAAGAACAAAGCCACATGGAATCGACTTAAGAAACAGTTATTTAAGTTTAGAGTCATGAGTATGCAAAACAGTTTATTCTTGTATTATTATTTATTCATTATTGTACTGTTTTCCATATGAACAACTGTAAGCCTAGGTTTGCTCTACCCTGTATTTCTAAAATGGGGGAAGAGCTATGACTTGGGAGAAAGAGGGAGTGGGCTAAGAAAGGAGAGAAATGCCCCAGGTACTGGCTTAGGAGGGAGGTGACGGACATGGCGCAGGTGTTCAGGGCAGCAGGGGAAGCCTTGCTTGAGGGCCTGTGAGAAGATGACATCAGTTAGATGTGGGGGGAGGGAGGCAGCTAATTGGTAGAGACCCTTGAAACCCATGCTTAACAGTTTTAATTTAATTCAAGAGGCAATTGGAACTACTGTCGGCTTCTAAGGAGGGCAGTGATATGATCAAATGCTTGAGGACAGCGGCTCCTGCTGCTGTGAGCAGAGTGAATTGTGTGAAGACACTCAGGCAGGGAGGCTGGTCTGAGGCTACTTCATGATCCAGGGTGACAGGGCCATGGCCTAGCACAGGGCTCTGGGGATGGGATGGAGGAGCAGAACTGGAATAGATTACAGAGGATAGACATTCCTTTGTTCTTTTTAGAACCAGGGACACCATGGGGAACAGGCACAGAGGTTGGGACGGGCAGAGACAATTAAGCATTTACCATGTGGTGAAATAAGTGCTGTGACCACTGAATCCGAGAAATAGGAAAGTGCAGAGCAGGAGCAGCGCCCAACTGAGTCATGGGGCGGGACCTAGGTGGTCAGGGAAACCTTCCCTGAGGACGTGGTGTTTAAACTGGGAATTTGATGAAGAAGCAGAAATTAATTGAGTGAAAAAATCATCGGGTGATACGTTCTAGGCAAGAAGCTCCCAGGTGAAAGGGCAGGAGTGGAGCCGTGAGGGAAAGAATGGTTTCTGGAGAGGCTCAAGGGAGCTAGCAGGGTGGGACCAGACCAAGAGGGGCCTCGAGTCTGCAAGATGGACTTCAGATTTTATCCTAAGGGCAGTGGAGGGCGAGAAGAGAGGCATGGTTTATTGTTCATTTTAGAAAAATCTCTCTGGCTATGTTGTGGGAGAAAAGGATTGGGTGTGGCAGTTTCTAGGATGGGAGACTGGCCATAGTCCAGGGGAGAGATGATTGGGAGGTAGAGATGGAGACATGCAGATACGTAGGATGTAGAACTCATGGGGTGAGAAAGATCGAGAGGAAGAGAGCATTAGCAGGGACGTCATTAGCCCACAGAGGGAGAGGTATTCTCCCGGATCACACAGCCAGCTCGTGGAAGCATCAAGACTAGGATCTAAGTCTCTGGTTCTTTATAAAATAAGGAACTTACATATCTCTCCTCAACATGTTTTCCTCTACATCCTCACAATTTACAATAGATGTTTTAAGTTCTTCGTCTGCTAATTCCATCACCTCTGTCATTTCTGGATCTGTCTCTATTGGTTGATTTTTCTCCTGGGTGTGGGTCATCTTCTCCTGCTTCTTCGTATGCCTGGTCATTTTTCCTAGATGACAGACATTGTGAATTTTACATTGCGGGACACTGGATTTGCTATATTCTGACATGCAGCTAAGTTACTTGAGTTTGATCTTCCCAATGCGTTCGTTTAAGCTTTTTCAGGGCAGATCTGAGGAGGCTGTAGGACTTCTGCTTTCAGCCATGATGGAGTAACAGGAACTGGATTTACCCTCTGACCTGCAACAGCAACATGACCAGATTAAATGTGTGAAACAGCGGTGATCAGGCAATGGAGGACAGCGGTCTCCGAGAGATAGGAAACTAATGAGGTGAGTCCTATGATTTCCTTAGCTTTCTGTCTGGAGTGGTTTCTAGGCCACAGCAAAGTGGAACTCTGGTGGATCCTGTTGGACTCCCTGAATGGAGGAGATGGAGCTGAGAGTCTGGGGAGACCAAGGCAGGTAAAGTTCACAGGACAGAGTGCCAGAGAAGAGAGGACTGCACATGGGGAGAAGCCAGAGACTGCAGAAAACCACCTTCAAATAGTCCATAGAGTATTTATCAGCATGAATATGGGGGGCGGGGGGCGGGGAGTAACCCAAGGTTGGAAAAATAACTAAATGGATCAGAGAGACTAATACCTGGTACTGGCACAGACCTAAGAATAGTGTCTGTTCCCACCAGCCAGACCAGAAAACCCAGAATTCATGGAGGGTTGGTAGTCCTCAGAAGGGTCTTGCCTCAATAATGGGGAATGATTATTAGCCCTAGACTAAACACTGCTCTAGTTTACTCTAAAATATCTTAAACAAAAGGCCCAAAAGGATCAAGTGATTCTCAAATACCTTAACTTAATTTCAGAAAAATGTTGAATAGTTATAAAAATTCAAAAATATATATTACCCAACAAAATAAAATGTACAATGTCTGCCATCAAATCAAAGATTATCAGATATTCAAAAAAGCAAGAAAATATGCCTATTACGAGTGTGTGAGAGAGGGGAGGGGTGCAAAGAGAGAGAGAGAGAGAGAGATTTAGAAGTCTTGAAGGAGGAAGAGGAGTTCACTTTGTAGACAAAAGGCCCTACTTTGGCAACCCAGTAGGAGGGATTGTTATGAGCAAAGATTTGGGCATGAGAAAGAATGTGAGTATGGAACATGGAGAAGGTAGGTGTGAGTAGTGTATAGAGTATAGAATATAGAAAAGGAGAGGAGGGTGACCACACTGGAAGGTGGGCCAAACAGAGTCCTAGGATAAGCCATTCTTCCAGTTGCTTAAAATAAATATTTTAAAACTTGCAATCACCATTGGTTCCTCCCTCCCTCCTCCCTCCCTCCTTCCTTACACCCATCCCAATAGCAAGCCATGTTGGCTCTACCTTGATAAAACATGGAAGCCAGTCACTTCTCACTACCTGCATGATCCCCCTTTGTGCAGGTGACCGCCATCTCTCTGATGGAGCGCTGCGATAGCCTCTGAGCAGGCCTCCCTACCTCTGGCCTCATCCAGCCCTCCCTAGCATTCTACTCACAGTGTAGCCAGAGTAACCTTTTAAAAACTGAAGTTATCCCCTGACCGGTTTGGCTCAGTGGATAGAGCGTCGGCCTGTGGACTCAAGGGTCCCAGGTTCGATTTCGGTCAAGGGTGTGTACCTTGGCTGTGGGCACGTCCCCAGTGGGGGGCCTGCAGGAGGCAGCTGATCGATGTTTCTCGCTCATTGATGTTTCTAACTTTCTATCCCTCTCCCTTCCTCTCTGTAGAAAATC